ATCAAAAGCTATCAGATATGCATAAATGCAATAAAATGTAGCCCATGGCCAGATGGGAGGGGACAGTATGTAGAAACAAATGCCAAAACGAACCAGATATTAGAATTAGCAGAAAATTTTAGAATAGCTATAGGGAAGACACACAACCCCTAAAAGATGTCTGTGTCCTAATCCCTAGAATCTGTCAATATGTCAAGTAACAAGACAAAGGGTAAGGTTGCAGATGGAATTAAAGTTGCTAATTAACTGACCTTAAAATAGGAGGGTATCCTAGATTATTTGGTGATCCCAATATAACAAAAGAGGCTATGAACCAACGAATGCAGGCAGCCCTCACATGCTAAAAAGGCAAAAAAACAGGTTGTCTGCCAGAGCCTCCAGGAAGAAACACAGTTCTGCTGATACTCTGGTGTTAGCGCAGAGACCCATTTCAGACCTCTGACCTCCAGAACTAAAAGATAATATATCTATGATGTTTTACGCACTATATTTGTGGTAATCTGATACAGCAGCAAGAAATGAACACAGATTACTAAAAATATGTCTAAGGATTTACAGGAAAAGATAGAATGAGTAAAGAGAGAATCTCAGTAGAAAAACAGAAACTACTAAAAAGAACCAAATGGAAAACCAATAACTGAAAAATACATGTTTTTGAAACAAAAAATTCACTGTACAGCTTAACAGCAGATTGGATACTACAAGAATAAAAGATTAGAGAACCTGAGTACAGAATTGTTCAAATTATACAAATTGAAGTAGAGAGGGAAAAAACACTCAGAAATATAAAACAGTTTGTGATCAGTGAAACAATCTGACACACACATAAATTGTAGCCCCAAGGAAAAAAGGGTGTCCACTACGAGTAAATACGAAAGACTGTTTTTCATACTTTCTGATTTCTTTAAAGAGCAACTGACTAAACTACAATAATAACAATTTATTGTGGGATTTATAACCTATGTAGAAGTAAAAAGGAAGAGAGAAAGTGAACATCATTTTACTGTTAGAAGGTTCTTACACTCAGTGGTATAGCTTTAACCTGATTTATGATAGACTGATAATTTACTAATGTATAAAAATGATCCTTAGAGCCACTGAAAACAAAGCCAATAGAAGAGAAAGCTATAAAATACTTTTTAAAACCATTAAAGAAGGTAGGAAGGAAGAAAAAAAGGAAAGAAAAATTTTTTTTAAAAAAGTAGTACAAGAAAACAAGATGACAGTTTTAAACCTAAACATATCAACACTTACATGGAATATGCTAAACACTCTAAAGGCAGGAATGGTCAGACTGGGCACAAAAGGAAAACCTAAGGCTGTAGATATTAAATATAGATATAAATACAGGCAATTTTAAAAAAGAGAAAAAGAATTTCAAGGAAACACTAATTATCAGAAAAGTAGAACAGTTCTACTCCTCAAAGTAAACTTAAAGACAAAAAGCATTACCACAGACAAAGAAATCCTGTATGTTTAAAGGCTTTTTTCATAAAGAAGACATAATAAAAAATGTCTATGTATCTTACAGTAGACCTTTAAAATACATAAAGCAAAAAACATGAAAAGAAGAAAATTCAACAAATCCATAATTACAGTTGAAGATGTTAACACTCCTGTTCCAGTAACTGAAAGAAAGAGACCACAGAAAATCAGTACAGACATAAGAAATTTAAAAAACATTATCGATCAACTTTACCTAACTGGCATTTACACAAGACATCCAGCAACTGCAGAATATACACTCTGTTTAAGCACACATTGAACATTTACCAAGACTGACCACATTACAGGCCGTAACCAAACCCTGCATTTTCAAGTATTGAAGTCATATGGAATATGTTCTCTGACCTAAACAGAGGTAACTTAAAAATAAGTGGAGTCTGCACTCGGGCTGCTGGGGGCAGCTCTGTGCTCAGTCCACGTCTGGCCTTGGACCCGCTGCGGTGGACTGACTCAGGGTCTGGAAGCAGAACTGGGCAGGAAGGCAGGCTGGGTGGCAACCAGCTGCAGGGCTAAGCAGAGGCCGACTACAAAGGGCACTAGTGCAAGAGCATGGAGCCCTGCTCACATTTCCACTCAAGGGCTGCTTGCAAAGCAGCTCCTCAATCAACCTGGCCTTCACAAGGGCGCGACGTGACTGGGACTGTGACAGCTCCTTCTGCAGGTGTCTCATGTGGCTTTACCACGAACCTGAGAGAAAGGTTCTTCTCATTTTATAAAAGAGTCTAGCTTAAGTTACATAATTCATGCTGGAGTCAAAAATTCTGACTCCCAAGTCCAAAGGCGAATGGTTACCACACAGCTGTCCTGAATCACCTGAGACACACAGACCGGGACAAAGTGAACACGGTTGCTGTGGAGTATTACCGGAGATGGGGCTGGGATTTTTAAAATTATGGAAAAGTGATATACAGAGCAATGGCGATATAATGAAATTTAAAGTACCTGTTTTGGATGAATTTACAAAGTAGCTGAGAATAAAAACAATAATTCTTAAAGGTGCTACTTTAAAAAAAATCAATAAACACAATATATCAGAAAGAATCCCAAGTTAGAAATTAAGCAACAATGTCTAACCTGATGATCAAGACAGAAATTTGAGAGTAGAAAATACTTTCAACATAATAATGAAAACAAAGTATGCCAGAATTAGTGGGACAAAGCTAAAATGCGTAAAGTCAAATTTATACATTTATGATTATACAGGCATGACACAATTTATTGCTCTGTGCTCTACTGCACTCTGCAGGTATTATATTTTCTTACAAACTGAAAGTTTGCAACCCTGCACTGGGCAAGTCTGCTGGTGCCCATTTTCCAAGAGCATTTGCTCGCTTCATGTATCTGTGTGACATCTGGGTAATTCATGCAATATTTTAAACTTTTCGCTACTATTATATTTCTGATCACTGATTGTAATTGTTTTGGGGCACCCGTGTAAGATGGCAAACTTGGTAGATGTTGTGTGTGTTTCAACTGCTCCACCATCCCCCCATCTCTTTCTCCTCAGGCCTCCCTATCCCAAGACAAAATACTAAAATTAGGCCAATTAATGACCTTACAATGGACCCAAACTGTTCAAATAAAAGGAAAAGTCACACACCTCTCACTTTAAATCAAAAGCTAGAAATGATTCAGCTTAGTGAGGAAAGGTGTGTTGGGAGCCAAGACAGGTCAAAATCTAGGCCTCTTAGCCCAAACATTTTAGCAAAGTTGTGAACACAAAGGAGAAGTTCTTGAGGGAAATTACAATTGCTTCTCCAGTGCACACAAATGGTAAGAAAGTGAAACAGTTTTATTGCTGATACAGAGAAAGTTCTAGTGGTCTGGATAGAAGATCAAACCAGCCACAACTCTGCCTTAAGACAAAGCCTAATCCAGAGCAAGGCCCTAATTCTCTGCAATTCTGTGAAGGCTGAGAGAGGTGAGGAGGCTACAGAAGAAAAGTTGGAAGCCAGCAGAGGCTGGTTCATGAGGTTCAGGAAAGAAGCGTCTCCATAACATAAAAGCACAGGTGAAGCAGCAGGTGCTGATGGAGAGGCTGCAGCAAGTTACCCAGAAGATCCAGCTGAGATCGTTACTGAAGGTGGATACACTAAACAACAGATTTTCAGTGTAATGAAACAGCCTTGTATTTGGATGAAGATGCCATCCAGAACTTTGATAGCTAGAGAGGAGAAGTCAATGCCTGGCTTCACAGCTTCAAGGACTGGCTGACTCTCTTGTCAGGGGCTAATGCAACGAGTGACTTGAAGTTGAAGCCAATGCTCACTGACCATTCTGAGAATCCCAGGGGCCTCAGGAATTATGCTGAATCTACCCTGCCTGTGCTCTGCAAGTGGAACAACAATGCCTGGCTGACAGCACATCTGCTTACAACATGGCTTACTGAATATTTTAAGCCCACAGTTGAGCACTGCTGCTCAGAAAAAGATTCCTTTAAAAATATTCCCGCTCATTGACCGTTCACCTAGTCCCCCAAGAGCTCGGATGGAGATGGACAGTGAGGTTCCTGCTGTTTTCATGCTGCTGACACAAGTCAGTTCTGCGGCCCATGGATCAAGGACCCATGTTGACTTTCAAGTGTTTTCCCTGAGGAAACCCATTTCGTAAGGCTACAGCTGCCATAGTGTGATTCTGCTGATGGATCTGGGCAAAGTACCTTGAAAACCTTCTGGAAAGGATTTGCCCCTCTAGATGCCACTGAGAACATCTGTGATTCTTGGGAAGAGTTTTGTCAAAGCACCAACATGAACAGGAGTTTGGAAGAAGCTGATTCCAACCCCATGGGTGACTTTGAGGGGGTTCAAGACTTCATGGAGGAAGTAACTGCAGATGTGGTGGAAACAGCCAGAGAACTAGAATTAGAAGTGGAGCCTGAAGATGGGACTGAATGGCTGCATCTCATGATAAACCTCTAATGGGTGAGGAGTTCTTATGGATGAGCAAGAAAAGTGGTTTCTTGAGATGAAATCTACTCCTGGTAAAAATGCTGTGAAAATGAACATCCAGCTTTCTAAAATTAGACATCTAAAATTGTTAAAATGACCACTAAGGACTTAGAATACTCCACAAACATAGCTGATAAAGCAGGGGCATCATTTGAGAGGATTTACTCTAATTCTACGTTCTACTATGGGTACACTGCTATCAGACAACATCACATGCCACATAATTCATTTTTGTGAGAGGAAGAGTCGATGAATGCAGCAAACTTTATTGTTGTCTTAGGATATTGCCACAGCCCCGCAGCCTTCAGCAATACCCTGATCAGTCAGCAGCCGTCAGCATTAAGGCAAGAGCCTCCCCCAGCAAAAAGTTTATGACTCGCTGAGAGTTCAGAAGGTGAGCAGCATTCTCTAGCATGTACACTGTTTTGTCTTGTTTTGTTTTAGACATAATGCTATTGCACACTTAATAGACTGCAGTGTGAACATAACTTCCATATGCACTGAGAAACCAAAAATTCATTTGAGTCACTTTATTGCAATACTCACTCTGTGGTAGTCTGGAATCAGACTCACAGCATCTCCAAGGTGTGCCTATTTTAGAAAAAATGAGATTCAAAAATCAATGCTCTAGCTTTCCACATTAAGAAGCCAGAGGAAATTAAATCCAAAATACGTAAGAGGAAAGCAATAAAGAGCAGAAATCAGTAAAATAAAATGAACAAATAATGGAGAAATCAACAACATCCAAAACTGGTTCTATGAAAGTATCACTGACACTGGTAAACTATTCGCGAGAATGAGCAAGAAAAACAAGAGAGAATATACAAATACCAACACTGATGAAAACAGAGGCTAATCACTATGGACTGTGCTGAAATTAAAAAGATAATGAGAAACATTAAGAACAGCTTTGTGCAAATACATTTTATAATTAGATGTAAAGAAAAATCCCCTGAAGGATGCAAGTTATCAAAACTAACAAGAACCAAAAAATCTGAATAGCCATTTATATTAAAAGACCTGAATCCATAATCATATCTTCCTACATAAAAACCCCAGGCTCATGTGCCTTTACTGGTGAATTCTTATCAAACACTTAAGGAAATAATATCAGCATAATTCAATAACTTGATTTTTCTCTGTGTCCTAATATGAATGTAATTGTAATAAAGCTGACCTATATCAGAAATGTACTGAAAATACTGACACCTTGCATTCAGTAAAAAATAATTTGACTAGAAAAATGCTAAATTTTTGAATAAAAGACTTCATAAACAAAATTAAAAGATAAACATTAAATTGGAAAAAAATATTTGACAAATGACTGATATACGTGTAATGAAAGCCTTTATCAAATATGCAAAAAACAAGCACAGGAAATGCACCAAAGAAATATTAATGCCAAGAAACCAATAACCAACTTTTCTAAACACCAAAAGAAATACAAATCTAGACAGGCAAAAAATGTTTTCAAAAATTTAAGAGAGTGGCCATATCTATGGAAAGAGCAAAATTGTGGAGACAGTAAAAGATCAGTGGTTGCTAGAGACTGGGGGGAAAGAGGGGTGAACAGGCAGAACACAGGATTTTTAGGGCAGTGAGACCACTATGTGTGCATTAGGGTGTAGACACATGTCATTAGACACCCCTACCAATCCACAGAATACACACCACCAAAGCGGACCATAACGTAAACTGTGGACTTTCGGCAATAATAGTTGTGTCCATGTGGGTTCACTTATGGGACAATAACAAATGTACCATCTGGTGGGGATGCTGATGTTGGGAAAGCTGAAGGAGGAAGCAGGGGAGTGGGGGACTATATTTTCCACTCAATTTTGCTATAAACCTAAAATTGCTCTAAAATAAAGCCTATTTTTTAAAAATACATATAGGATTTCAAAGATTAAACTGGAAAAAACAGTATAAATTATCTCAATAATGTTTTAATATTGACTGTATATTGTAATAAAGATGGTTTGGATATGTTTACATTACCAATAAAATACATTGTTAATTTTCTTAATAAGAGTAATACCTAGTATTTTTGAGAGCTGTGGTAGACAGACATTGTCTAACAGGAGTGATGAGAATATATATCTTTTTGTATGACAATCTGCCATACAAAGGCCCAAAAATGGTCTAAGAATTTGTTTGAAATTGATAATAACAGAAGTACAATGAGATGTATGCAGTTGACCACACAATGGAATTCTATGAAACTATTAAATCTGATGAAGTAGACTGCTATTTTTAGACACAGGAAGACATTCATGATAAACTGTCAATTGGTAAGGGTCAGACTATAGGCTACTTGAACAGATGAGCCAGCTCATGAGGAAGCAGGTAATATTAATGCACACACAGCCACACAGAGATGTGTCGTGGGTGGACAGACACAGCATGAATCATGGCATTCTCTAGGGGATGAGAGGCAATGATTTTTTACAATTGGCCTGGATCTCCCTTCCTGAAACGTAAGGGAATTTACACCCTCAGCCCTACTGAGGCACACAGGCTGCCTCGGCTCTCCTCACTCCCATGCACCCTGCTAAGGACAAAGTCCGTTCTGCCTAAGAAACCATTCACGTCATTCTGTAATTTGGGGCAAGTTCCTCACTTTACCTCTCCTATACACAATCCAGGTGTACTGGGAACAGAGGGTTTTAGGGTCTAAGTCTTGTTCAGGTCTGCCAATCACCTGTGTGATCCTGGCAACTCACTTTTCTGTGCTCAGTTTCCTCAACAGTCAAGTGAGAATATTAGTATGCACCCTGCCACAAGATTATTTTATCTTGACAGTAATTCATGTGGAAAATACTTTCTAAAATCTTTTCCAATGAATATATATTATAAAACAGAAAAAATACAATGTCACAGGATACCAAAATAATGAAAAGGGGAAGAAATCAGACTTTTAAAAATGGGAAGAAAATCAGTAACAGGGAAGTACATGAATAAATATATAGAGAAACTAAGGAAAGAAAATGAACTTAAACTAATATGAATTTCTATTTTAAAAAACTGATAGTTGATTGGATCGCCTCGAAGAAAAAATAATAACAACTTATAACTGGGCCAAATAGAGAATAAAAAGTTTGATACATCACATGTTGAGACCTAAAGTATTTCAAATTTAAGTTCCCTATAAAAAGCATCTTCTACATTTTTAATGAATAAGATGAATGTGATACTTGGCACTGGCCATCAAAGGAACTTACGGTTACTCTATAAAATATAAATAGACATTATCACCCTCTGTTAGTACCCATTCATTTCAATGCCTACTAAACACAAAGAACTATGCTAGGTATATGGAACTCAATGGTATATGTGACATTATTTCTTGCTTTTGAAAAACTCACAATTTATTTAAGGAAGGAACTAAAGTACCAACACAAACAAAAACCAATTGTAGAACTGGGGCACACATGGCAGAGAGCAGAAGAACGGAATTATAACCAAGGAATAAGAGATGCTGAGTCACCCATCTCTATCTGTGTTGTGCCAGCAGCAAGCATAACTAGATGCTGGAACACAGACTCTGAAAATGGGGCTAAGGACCTCCTGCCACTGACCATGACAGGGCCAGGGTATTACTTCACTGGCAATAGTATATTAAACAATAAGTAAGCAGTCATTCAGTACACCACCTGGTCAATGTTGGACGCCTGCTGAAATGCTGCCAAAACTGACAGGAAAGGGAAGTCATCAGGAAATAATGGCTGTCTCTATCAGCCTGACACTGAGCTTACTCATGCATTCATTTAAAAAAAAAAAGGTTGAAGGGGTAACTTTTTTTAACAACCTGGAGAACTTCCCAAAAACTCTCTCTCTGTATATATATTAAAACCAAAAAAAAATACTTGGTAAAACCAAAGACCAGTTGTGACCCAATACTTTCCATTGACTGATTGAGAATAGCACTTCCTCAATACCTTCTTATTAATAAATGAATTCAAATTAGAAGTGATCACACTCAGAGCAGATATTAATCCAGGCACTTCCATAAATTAAAAACAGAATTAAAACTATCATATCTGGTTACCGGATTCTCAAGCATTTAATTTTTTACTGAGAGTGGCAGCTACAGATGGGGCTTAAAAAGAGTCCAAAATCTAACCAATTTAATAAATCCTATATATGTCTTATCTCACTAGATTGTAAATGCCTTGATGGCCGGAGCTGGTATCAACTCTACATTCCTTTTTACCATTCAGATGAATATATGTATAGATAGAGACAAATAAGCCATGGAACAAATAGATGTACGTCACAGAAATTAAGTTTAACAGGATACTTTGAATGTTTGGGAGACAAACAAACTGGTTATTAAAAACAGGTTCTGGGACTGTAGAAATTACATGGCATGTGTAGGACACCGGATGGGAGAAAGAGGTGATCACAACAACATAGCCTCTGCTCCAGAAAGGAGGTTGCTAGGAAGATACAAGAAACATGAACTAATGGAGGAAAAGAGGCAAAAAGACAAAACAAGTTGAGACATTAAAAGCAAACAGAGCAATATTGAGAAATCTAAACATAATCAGCAGTCTTACACATCTTCAGGGAAAAAGACATGGTTTTTTTTAATATTATTAAGGATTTAATAATGGCTCTCTCAATAAAAATAGTATGCTGTGTTCACAAATGCAGAAGAGAATTGGCATTATTAAAAAATTAAACCCAGGATAACACAAACCATTTTACCAACTGACTTCCAGAACTGATGGAGAAGCATTAAAAGTTATGTTAGACATTAAGGTAAAAAATAAATAGTTGTACACTATTTGAAAATGATGAGAAAAAATTTGATGACAAATACTATTTTTGACCAGTCACATAAACAAGATGAAGCAAAAGGATTCAGAACCTAGATTTTCCAAATTTTATAATAAATTAATGCTATTAATGAAAGAATAATATTTTCAAAGTGTAATTTCAGCAGAAAATGGTCTTTACAATATATACATATACCGTGGAGAAAAGAAATAAGAGATAAGCAAGTGAAATTTTTCTACTCATCAAAGCAAGTGTAAGCATTTCCACTTTATAGAAGTAGAGGCATTAAGAACAAATGAGGGAAAAAGTGAAAATAAAAGTCTTCAAGAATTTTAACACATCACTTACATCAAAGTTAACCTAAAGATGGAAATGCTGTTGTATATACAGGGAAGAAATTGGAAAGTTGAAGCAGCTCACAGTACATCACAGCCCGAGTGTACTGTGTAGCACTGGCTGGAGCTCTGTGTGCTGAATTAGAAGAATCTGCAAGCTCAGTTAAATAAAGCAAAGAGAAAACAGTTTGCATGGAATGTATCCATATATGTCTACAGGAACATTTATGTATCATGCTAGCAAATACCCTCAAGTTTTCTGAAGGGCTGTACAGGAAACAGCTATGTGTTCTCTAGGAAGGGGTTCACAGTACTTGGATCCGAGGTGCCAGGAGATTTGCTTTTTTTGTAATCCTCTTTGTATAATGGTAATAATTATTATTGTCATAAAAACAAATATAAATACCATTAAAACAAATGTATAGCCTGATTTTATTAGGTTTAATACACTAACACGCATTTAGAGATGCCTGA